CTCTGTCTGTGGAGGGCAGGGCTGCAGCGAGCTCTGGACAGATGTCCGGTCCAAAGCATCCAGGCCCAAGAAGTGGGGCCCTGGATTACTATAAAGTAGATTTTTAACCCATGGGTTTAATATCTTCTCGGTTAGGGAGTGTGTGTGTTGAGGTTATTTTTATAGAGAGAAAACAGCTTAATTCTATCACTAAGGGTCAATTCTGAATTTGGTGATTTAAGACACAAAGAAAAACAAGACATTAAAATACTATCCCCTTACTAAAGAGTCCTGTGCAGATGTTTCATTTTAAAACATAATTCTTTGCCTGGAATTACGTAACAACTAATTTCCTCCTTTTAGCCTTTAGGCCTACATTTCCTTTATTTTATTTCAACAAGGAAACCAGCAATCAGTACCAGGATCAGAGTCCTGGGCTGAACTGCAAAGTTTACAATGCCCCCTTCTCTTACAACCTCCCACTTCCAGCTCCAAGGACTCCCCAGATCAGGTGACTGGCCCAGAGCTGCTCCACTCCAGCCTCCAGCACACTCAAGGCTGCCACACTGAACTGCTTGGAGGCAGTTCACTGGTTGAACTGCGGACAGAAAGCTATCTGCTGAGAGTTACACTCACCAAACCAACAAGAGAGGACATGTCAACTGACTTAACTGGGGATGCCCTCATATCTAAAGTAAGAAGCTGCTGGGCGCAGTAGTTCATGCCTGTAACCCCAGCACTTTGTGAGGCGGAGGCAGGAGGATTGCTTGAGTCCCAGAGTTTGAGACCAGCCTGGGCAACGTGGCCAGATCTGTCTCTACAGAAAATACAAAACTAGCCAGGCATGGTGGCACATGCCCATGGTTCCAGCTACTTGGCAGCCTGATGCAGGAAGACTGCTTGAGCCCAGGAGGCAGAGGTTGCAGTGAGCCACCATCTTGCCACTGCACTCCCGTCTGGACAACACAGCAAGATCCCGTTTCAAATAAATAAAGGAAAAAATCAACACGAGGGTCAGGCCGGCACTGCAACTGGTGCCTAATGCTATCGTGAGGACTCGATGGATCTTTCACAACTGAAGTCACTGGAGATGCGCAGTGGTGAGGAAAGTAGCATCTATCTCATCATGGAGGAAGGTATGACTCAAAACCACCCCCTTCTGGTTCTATCATTTCCATTAATCAAGAAACCTTTTAATAATTAATTGGAGGCCTAGGTAATAGTAATGGTAATGACTCTTTTGTTTCTTTTTCCTTTTTTTTTTTCTGAGACGGAGTCTTGCTTTGCCACCCAGACTAGAGTACAGTGGCGGGATTTTGGCTCACTGCAACCTCCACCTTCTGGGTTCAAGCGATTCTCCTGCCTCAGCCTTCTGAGTATCTGGGATTACAGGCGCCTGCCACCTCGCCCAGCTAATTTTTGTACTTTTAGTAGAGATGGGGTTTTACCATCTTGGCCAGGGTGGTCTTGAACTCCTGACCTCATGATCCACCAGCCTCGGCCTCCCAAAGTGCTGGAATTACAGGCATGAGCCACCGTCTTTTCTTTCTTTTTTATTTAAAATTTTTTTCTTTTTTTTAAAGATGGGGTTTCACCATCATGGCCAAGCTGGACTTGAACTCCTGACCTCAGATGATCTACCCACCTCAGCCTCCCAAAGTGCTAGGATTACAGGTGTGAGCCACCGTGCCCAGCTCTTTCTTTTTTAAAGAGATGAGGTCTTCCTCTACCAACCAGGCTGGAGTACAGTGGTGCAGTCTTGAACTCCTGGGCTCAGGCAATCCTCCTGCCTTAGCCTCCCAAACAGCCGGAGTTACAGGCATGAGCAACCACTGCATCCAGCTAAGACCCTTTTCTCGACTCACAAAGTGTGAGGAACACAAAACAGAATGACTGCTTTGAGAACAAGCACATTCCACAAATGTGATCCTTGTGATCACAGGAAACAGTGATCACAGTGGTGCAGAAAGAGGTTATTTACACTCCACAAACTGGATCTTCATCTATTTCTACTAAGAGGAAAAAGGCATTCTTAGATAGTCAAGGTTCTTCCCAAATTAACAATAAAATTATTCCTGGAATATCCATGAAACATTAAAACCAAAGTTCCAAGTATGCAGATTTCTTCTAGGCAGTATATAAAATAGAACATATGAGGGCCGGGCGTGGTGGCTCACGCCTGTAATCCCAGCACTTTGGGAGGCTGAGGCAGGTAGATCACGAGGTCAAGAAATCGAGACCATCCTGGTCAACATGGTGAAACCCCGTCTCTACTAAAAACACAAAAAATTAGCTGGGCATGGTGGTGCGTGCCTGTAATCCCAGCTACTCAGGAAGCTGAGGCGAGAATTGCCTGAACCCAGGAGGCGGAGGTTGCGGTGAGCCAAGATCGCACCATTGCACTCCAGCCTGGGTAACAAGAGCGAAACTGTCTCGAAAAAAAAAAGAATATATGGACAGGCGCCATGTCTCACACCTGTAATCCCAGCACTTTGGGAGGCTGAGGCAGATCACTTGAGGTCAGGAGTTTGAGACCAGCTTGACCAACATGGTGAAACCCTGCCTCTACTCAAAATACAAAAATTAGCTGGGCGTGGTGGCACATGCCTATAATCCCAGCTATTTAGGAGGCTGAGGCAGGAGAACTGCTGGAACCCAGGAGGCAGAGGTTGCAGGGAGCCGAGATTGGGCCACTGCACTCCAGTCTGGCACCTGGCGACAGAGTGAGACTCCGTCTCAAAGAAAAAAAAAAAAGGAATAAAATAAACTGGCTGGGCGCGGTGGCTCATGCTTGTAATCCCAACACTTTGGAAGGCCAAGGCAGGTGTATTATGAGGTCAGGAGATTGAGACCATCCTGGCCAACATGGTGAAACCCCATCTCTACTAAAACACAAAAAATTTGCTGGGCGTGGTGGCGTGCACCCGTACTCCCAGCTACTCCGGAGGCTGAGACAGGAGAATCACCTTAACCCAGGAGGCAGAGGTTGCAGTGAGCTGAGATCGCGCCACTGTACTCCATCCTGGGCGACAGAGCATCCAACTCAAAGGAACAAAATAAAATAAATTTACTGCAGGTAATGACATCTGTTTACTGAATTAGGCCCTTCACATTATCTTAACAGGGACCCATGGATCTAGCTTTTCTCTCTGTTGGCTGTGCAAGTGAAATAAAAAAAGGAGTTTCTAGAACACAGCATGCACTCCAAGTCTTCCATGCCGGTCTCTCTGCCCGCACTCTTTGCCCCAATCCGATCCCCACGCAATGGCAAATCAATACTCTCATGCTAAAACCTGGATCATGTTACTCCTTGATTTTAAAAAGCCTTCAATAATGACAATAGCAAAAGCTAACATCTATTGAGCACTTAGTGCCCTGGGCAGGAGTTTTTCCATGCACTTTAGGTATACGAATTCACTTAGTCCTGACAATAACCTAATAAAGGAAGTATTACCTATGTTTTATAGATAAGGAAAGAGGCAAGGAATGGTTAAGTAACTTGCAGAAGGTCACATGGAAAGTGGGAGAAGTAGGGATTGGGGCCTCAGCAGTCTGACTCTAAAGCCCCAGTGGTTTCCTGTTGTGCTCTAAGGGTATTTTGTGCTTCTATTCCTTTAAGGGAAAGTCCAAGATTATTACCAACCTTTGCTGAACACTTGCTACATAGCACAAACTTTAAACATACCTTCTGGCCAGGCACGGTGGCTCCTGCCTGTAACCCCAGCGCTTTGGGAGGCCGCAGCGGGCATATCACTTGAGGTCAGGAGTTTGAGACCAGCCTGGCCAACACGGTGAAACCCCCTCTCTACTAAAAATACAAAAATTTGCTGGGCGTGGTGGTGTGCACCTGTACTCCCAGCTACTCGGGGGGCTGAGGCAGGAGAATCGCTGGAACCTGGGAGGCATAGGTTGCAGTGAGCCGAGATCGCACCACTGCAGTTCCAGACTGGGCGACAGAGCAAGACTCTGTCTCAAAAAAACAAAATGAAATAAAAATAAACATCTGCTAAGAGAACGAATGTCTGAGAAAACAATATCTAACATATCAACAGCCTGGCTGTTTCCAAAGACATTTAAACTTATGTAATGCGTGCTGGGAAACTACTGGGCAAGTTCTCACTTTTTCAATCAGGTGAACTCGGCAAACAAAGGCAAGACTAATAACATTTCAGGGTCTCGAGGAAGTTTGGGAGACACGAACGCAAACCACCTACGTGGCTCCTCACGTAGCTCAAGCACTTTCTCCTCTCTAAGGAAATGGCCAATCTCCAGTCCAGCCCACCTGTTTTTCTAGCCCTCCAACGAGGCCAACTCAGCCAGCAATTATAAAGCACTCAGCCACGCCGCTCAGTTCTCCGTGGCTTAGGGCAAGTCGCGCTACCTCTCCCAGCCTCAAGTTTCCCATCAGTAAAAGTGGGTAACGTGAATAGCTAGCAGGTAACACGACAGTAAAAGGTTAAATGATCCATCGTGTATATGAACGGGCTTAGAAAACTCAAAACGAGGAACAAAGGGAGGCGAGTGTTAACAGAGGCCGCGTGGAGTCAGGAAACGGGCGCAGGATTTGGGTTCGCGCCTCAGCAGCGGCGGTCAGAGCAAGTCACTTGCTAAACTTCGGTTGTCTCAACTCTAAAATGGGTGGAGACCAGGCAGCGCCGAGATCACCGAGCGGGGACCAAATGCCAGTCCAGACAGGCGAGGGGGCTACGCCGCCGAGACCCCCGGACCCCGAAACGCGAGAGCCCCAGGGGGCAGCCCCTCAGCCCCACGAGCCTGGCATCCGACCCCGCCGCGGTCCCGTCAGCCTACCCAGCCCGCCGGAGGGACTGCGCCTCGGCCAGTGGGCGGGCGGTCGACTGGGCCGCGGTGGCGACGGCGGCGGCCCGGCCAATGAGGAGCGCGGCTGCGGTTGGGGGCGGGCGCACCCGGTCCTCCGCGTCGCGTCCGGGCCGCTCCCTCCCCCGCCTCGAGCTCCACTAGGTCGCGGACCCTAAACCCCGAAGGAAAAAAAGGCCTCTCACCGTCCTTTCGCCGCAGCCCCGCGCTTCCTGATGAGTTCATCCAGGGAGATGTCCGCCATCTTGCGCCGCCGAGCAAGCCGAAAGCAGCCGAGAAGCCCCCAGCCCGCAAGCCCGCCCCTTCGGCCGCTACGGAGCGACGAACTACTTCCGGCGTCCGCCGACCAACTCTCGCGACAGCCAGCTCGAAGCAGCCAAGAACCGGAAGGGGCGGGGACGCCACCCCCGTGAGCCTTCGCGGTGCTGGCTGCTTATCTGCATACGGAGAATCGGCACATTATGAATTATTTTTCTCCTCGACAAAGTGATTAAATGAAAAGCCACAAAATAGATTCATCAACAAGTAAGATAAACGTCAAAGGAACCGGATCATGCACTTTAACAGTCAACTACGATACTCATCGTACGCCTAATGAGAATACGGCTTATTACTTTGGAAATGAGCGCCATATAGTTTTATGCCTTAAACTTATGAGTAAGGAAAATAACGATTCGGGGTGACGCCCGAATCCTCACTGCTAATGTGAGACGAATTTTTGAACGGGTAAAGGTCGTCCCTGAGGTGACCCGCCTACTTTGCGGGATGCCTGGGAGTCGCGATCTGCCCGACCCTATTATGCCGAAAAAATAGATCGAGCGCGACGCTTAACCATTGTTTCCCCCAAATGCGTGTGAGCCAGTCTAAAGTTACTCATGATGTTAACGTTATGACTCAGGAAACTGGCTATTTCCATATATGCAGCCTTTTACCCATACCCAGTTTTCTGAAACTTCTCCGGGTAACCACTTGTATGTGCTTCTGGTTGATGAAACATGTTTGTCAAGCCTCACATAGCAGCTCAGTTCGTGACCCAGCGTGTGTTTGTGATAACCTTTTTTGCCAGCTAAAACTGACTCTCTTTTTCTCAGACCGAGAACTGTTCAGGCCGAGGCGGGTGGATTACCTGAGGTCAGGAGTTTGACCAGCATGGCCAACACAGTGATATCCCCATCTCTATGAAAAATACAAAAAAAAAAAAAAAACCTGGATGTGGTGGCGCCGGCTTGGTAATCCCACCTATTCCAGAGACTGAGGCAAGAGAATCGCTTGAACCTGGGAGATGGAGGTTGCAGTGAGTGGAGATTGCGTCACTGCACTCCAGCTTGGGAGACAGCACAATACTCCATCTCATTAATAAATAAATAAACAGACCGGGCGTGGTGGCTCACACCTGTAATTCCAGCACTTTGGGAAGCCAAGGCGGGTAGATCAGAGGTCAAGAGATCGTTAGCTGGGCGTGGTGGCGCATGCCTGTGGTCCCAGCTATTCCGGAGACTAAGACAGGATTGCTTGAACTCAGGATGCGGAGGTTGCAGTGGGCTGAGGTCGTGCCACTACACTCCATCCTGGAGACAGAGCAAGACTCTGTCTCAAATAAATAAATAAATACACAAAGGTGTCGTGTGTGAGTGGAGAATGGTTGCCCTAGAGCCCTCTCCCATTTTCTGAAAGGGAAACGGACCTGGAGCGGGTAGGCATCAGGTCCAGCTCATCACTTTTCCCAGGTCCTGGAGGCAGCCTCTTGTGGGCTCAGGCAGGAATGTGTTCAAATCCTGAGACTTCCAGCCTCAGACAAGGACAGAAATGAGGACGAGACCTAACACGTGTCCACTGCTAGCACAGTCCCCAGCCAGTGTGGAGAAGGCCATTTTGGGTCTGAGATTCCTTTTACTGCCCCAGTAGGGAGTGAAGGGGCCAGAGACAGAACAGGTGAGAGGTGAGAGGAGACAGGGCTCTCCCAGCCCCCGGGGTTGGTCTCGGGCCCTCCTTCCTGTGAACCTGTCCCTTTCCCTCTTCTTCCCCACTCCCTTCCAGCCACTCTGGCCTTGCTGTGCTCCTGGGGGTCACCGAGTAAGTCTCCGGAGCACCAGCCTAGCCCTGCCTCCCTCTCCAGCCTCATCTCCACTGCCCCCTCCAGCCACCGTCTTCTTTGATCTGTTTCTGAAAGTTTATTCCACAAGCTGGTTCCCACAGCAGGGCCTTCACACCTGCCATTTCCATCAATTGAACACCCACCCACTCTGGCAGGGCCAGCTCCCTCTCTTCTTGTCCCAGCACAAATCCAACTCTCTGGGGCTTTCCTGCTCCCCCGACCCTTTTTTGAGACGGAGTTTCGCTTTTGTTGCCCAGGCTGGAGTGCATTGGCGCTATCTCGGCTCACCACAATCTCCACCTCTTGGGTTCCTGCATAACCGGGATTACAGGCATGCGCTACCATGCCTGTCTAATTTTGTATTTTTAGTAGGGATAGGGCTTCTCCATGTTGGTCAGGGCGGTCTCAAACTTCGGACCTCAGATAATCCACCCACTTCAGCTTCCCAAAGTGCTGGGATTACAGGCATGAGCCACCGCGGCCGGCCCTGCTGCCCCATTTTTTTTTTTTTTTTTTTTTTTTGAGACGGAGTTTCGCTCTTGTTACCCAGGCTGGAGTGCAATGGCGCAATCTCGGCTCACCGCAACCTCCGCCCCCTGGGTTCAGGCAATTCTCCTGCCTCAGCCTCCTGAGTAGCTGGGATTACAGGCACGCGGCACCGTGCCCAGCTAGTTTTTTGTAATTTTTAGTAGAGACGGGGTTTCACCATGTTGACCAGGATGGTCTCGATCTGTTGACCTCGTGATCCACCCACCTCGGCCTCCCAAAGTGCTGGGATTACAGGCTTGAGCCACTGCGCCCGGCCACCTGCTGCCCCATTTTAAGAATAGCCCTATGCCAGCGTGCCTCATCACCTCTGTAATTCACCACGTGCAGATGGTATCCTTTCTTTTAGCCTCATCTGACACTGATGGGAGGCAGCAGCCTTGTGGTGGACTGGGGTTGCCTGGTTTCAGCTGGTTTGCCTCTGGGTGCTGGGAATTTTTTTTCCTGTGCATACTTCTCTGTACTTTCCAAATTTTCTACCACTAACATACATCAAAAATAAATGCCAAGCCGGGCACAGTGGTTCACACCTGTAATCCCAGCACTTTGGGAGGCCAAGGTAGGTGTATCACTTGATGTCAGAAGTTTGAGACCAGCCTGGCTAACATGGCAAAACCCTGTCTCTACTAAAAATACAAAAAAGTTGGCCAGGCATGGTGGCTCACGCCTGTTATCCCAGCACTTTGGGAGGCCAAAGCGGGCAAATCACAAGGTCAGGAGTTTGAGACCAGCCTGACCAACATGGTGAAATCCCATCTCTACTAAAAAAAAAACAAAAAACAAAAATTAGCTGGGTGTGGTGGCATGCACCTGTAATCCCAGCTACTCAGGAGGCCAAGGCAGGAGAATCGCTTGAACCTGGGAGGTGGTGGCTGCAGTGAGCTGAGTCACACCACTGCACTCCAGCCTGGACGACAGAGCAAGACTCTGTCAATTAAAAAACAAAAATTTGAGGCCGGGCACGGTGGCTCAAGCCTGTAATCCCAGCACTTTGGGAGGCCGAGGCGGGTGGATCACAAAGTCAACAGATCGAGACCATCCAGGTCAACATGGTGAAACCCCGTCTCTAATAAAAATACAAAAAATTAGCTGGGCATAATGGCCCACGCCTGTAATCCCAGCTACTCGGGAGGCTGAGGCAGGAGAATTGCCTGAACCCAGGAGGTGGAGGTTGCGGTGAGCCGAGATTGCGCCATTGCACTCCAGCCTGGATAACAGCAGCGAAACTCTGTCTCAAAAAAAAAAAAAAAAAATTTGGCCAGGCGCAAGAGATTGAGACCATCCTGGTCAACATGGTGAAACCCCGTCTCTACTAAAAAATACAAAAATTAGCTGGACATGGTGGCGCGTGCCTGTAATCCCAGCTACTTGGGAGGCTGAGGCAGGAGAACTGCATGAACCCAGGAGGCGGAGGTTGCAGTGAGCCGAGATCGCGCCATTGCACTCCAGCCTGGGTAACTAGAGCGAAACTCCATCTAAAAAAAAAAAAAAAAAAAAAATTTAGCTGGCTGTGGTGGTGTGTGCCTATAATCCCAGCTACTCAGGAGGCTGAGGCAGGAGAATCACTTGAACCTGGGAGGCAAAGGTTGCAGTGAGCTGAGATCGCACCACTGCACTCCAGCCTGGGTGACAGAGGGAGTCTCTGTCTCAAAAAGAAAAAGAAAAAAGAAATGCTGGGTCTTTCCAGCCCTTTCTTGTCCCCCCACCCCTTGTGATGCAGGTCACAGACCCTTGAGGAGCTACAGAAGGGTTAATGTTAGCAAAGTTTTACTTAATTTTTTTTTTTTCTGCTCATAAATGACTGGAAAAGCCGATACGCAAGAGGCTAACACAACTATAGTCTAAAGGCAATGTCGAGGTCACCAATATGTCCCTCAGACGAGAGGCACTGCTCAGGATCCCCCCTTGCTGGGGGTGAGGGCAGGAGGGGACGGTGTAGGACAGAGGAATAAATACATGTAGTTATGGGAGTCCTGCCGCCGGGGATGGTGGCCCCAGCCCAGGACCCCAAAACAACCAGGTGGTGCAGTGGGCTGCCCAGCCCACAGCTCTGGGCTCCCAAAGCTGCCTCTGTGTTTGGATGAGTTGGAAGGAAATGCCGAGGTTCCGTGGCCAGCCCCCTCTTCCTACTCTAGCCAGAGGAGAGCCAAGCTCCTGGCTGGCCAGAGACCGGGGTGGGGAGCAGCGCCCCCAAGAGGGCTTTCTGGTGTCGCTGTCTCACGCAGTGTCAGGTGCTGAGGCCTGCGACGGGCCCTGAGGCGGGAGTAGTGGCAGCAGGTGAGGCTGGGGTGGGCCCTGGCACCTGCAGCTGTGGACAGCCCGTCCGCATCTGCTGACATCCTGACTGTGGACCAAGGCCGGGAAGGGTGGGCCAAGGGAGCTGCTGGTAGCCCTCAGCCTTGTAGTGTGTGTGGGGGGTGGACAAGGGGTCATTAGGACAGGGATGGGGCAGGGCGTCTCTGGTAAGAACCAGTAAGTGCCAGGCAGAACCCATCCTGAAGGCTCAGCTGTGGCCCACCTGGAAAAGAGCCCTGCTCCCAAAGGGACCCCAGGAAGCCTGCTGAGCCGGGTGACGCACCAGGACACGGGCAGGCCAGGCTGAACCCGGAGCCCCAGTGTGCGATGTGGGGAGGTGACAGGGTGAGTGTGGACGGGGTGTGGGGCGCGCGGCGCGCAGGGCAGGTAGCCGTGTGACTGTCTCCGACCCTCAGAAGGCGAAGCAGCGCTCCTTGGGGTGGCCCACACGGTCCAGGTTGGGCAGGCAGGCGTACTGGATCATGGGTGGGGGGCCGCACATCAGCACCAGTGGCTCCTCCTCCGGGGGTGGAAGGTGGTCCCGGATCATCTCTTCGTTCACGAAGCCCTGGCTGTAGTCCCAGGCTGTGGGGTGAGAGACCAGGTGAGCTGACGTGTGGCTGAGTCACCACCAACCTGCTGACCGAGCAGCCCTAGGCTGTGAATTCCCCAGACGCTGAAAAAAGGAGAGGCTGATCCTAGCAAACCCTCACCAGGATCCCCTGCCCCCAACCCTGACTCAAGCCTGTGGCCTCAGGCCCTGCAGCCTGAAACCAGGATGCCAGCCTGTCACAGTTGCCCTCACTGGACTTTACAAAGCCTTTTGCTTCCATTTGGCCTCTGATGTGGCCCTTGGAACAACCAAGTGGGTAGACACGGCAGGGGTTATGAATCCCATTTTATGGATGTGGTAACTGAGGCCCAGAAGACCCAGAGTTGAGTTGCTCAAGGTCACACAACAAGGCAGGGACATGACTGAGATGCACATTCCAGGATCCGGGGTCCCCAGGCTGGTGCTCTGCCCCAGGCTGGTCAGGGTAACACTTTCTAACTGCCCCCACCTCCATGAGCCCACTGTGACCCCCACAAGGACGTTGGCCCATGAAGAGCCGAGTCTCACCCACAGCTGTGTGTCCTGCCTCCTCTAGCCCTGAGCACCCACGACAATATGGCTGGTCTCTATCCTTAGCAACCAGAAACAGCCACCCCACAGCCCTCAACACCAACAGAAAAGCTGCTGAAGCCCCATGCCAGGAGGTGACACAGACACCTTGCCTAGACCGCCAAAGTTTACAGCATCACAGCCCATGCTATGGAGGTCCTGAGGGGGAGGGGCCAAAGCAGTCCCAGCTTGCCCTGGAACCAGAAAGAGTAAACCATGCTGAGCAATGGGGTCCTCTTTATCTCATGGACACCAGAGCTAAGTAACTGACTACATTTCCCTTTTCACCTTGGCTGCTGGGAAGCTTGGAGTGATATGCATGGCCCATTCACAGCAAGCGTGCATGACAGTCCATGTTTCTGTACAAACCTCATTCCTGATTCCTTCATTTTATGGCCTTGCCCTTGTTTTCCTTTCACTCCCACTTTCCATTTGTGCCACTCTGACTCACCGGACGAGTCTTTGTAAGCCTCCTAAAATCCTTCTGGAACAAGGCAAAGCATGGAAAGTATTTTTACAGCTGGACAATGGATCTAAAGTGGATCTGAAAGTACTTGGTAAAAACTAAATGGGGGCCGGGCGCGGTTGCTCATGCCTATAATCCCAGTACTTTGGGAGGCCGAGGTGGGTGGATCACGAGGTCAAGAAATCAAGATCATCCTGGTCAACATGGTGAAACCCCATCTCTACTAAAAATACAAAAATTAGCTGGGCACGGTGGCACGTGCCTGTAGTCCCAGCTACTCAGGAGGCTGAGGCGGGAGAATTGCTTGAACCCAGGAGGCGGAGGTTGTGGTGAGCCGAGATCATGCCATTGCACTCCAGCCTGGGTAACAATAGCGAAACTCCGTCTCAAAAAAAAAAAAACTGAATGGGAATAAATTATTTGCTAGTGTGTAAAATGTGCAGGTATATAAGACATCTTTCAATTTCACAAGGATTTCTTTTCAGTGTTTTTTTTTAAGAGATGGGAATTGGCTGCGTTGCCCCGGCTGACATGCAGTGGCTATTCACAGGTGCAATCACAATGCACTCCATCCTAGAGCTCCTGGGCGCACGTGATCCTCCTGCCTCAGCTTCTAGTAGCTGGGACTACAGGTGCATGCCACTGTGCCTGGCTCAGTGTGTTTTTCCTTTCTTTCTTTTTTTTTTTTTTTTTTTTAAACAGAGCCGCACTCTTGTTGCCCAGGCTGGAGTGTAATGACACATTCTTGGGTCACCGCAACCTCCGCCTCCTGGGTTCAAACGATTCTCCTGCCTCAGCCTCCCAAGTAGCTGGGATTACAGGCATGCACCACCATGTCTGGCTAATTTTGTATTTTTCTTAATTTAATTTAATTTTTTTATTTTAAGCCATGGAAAATTAAAGCAATTAATTAAATAATTTTGTATTTTTAATAGAGATGAGGTTTCTCTGTGTTGGTCAGGCTGGTCTCGAACTCCCAACCTCAGGTGATCTGCCCACCTCAGCCTCCCAAAGTGCTGGGATTACAGGCGTGAGCCACAGTGTCCAGCCTCTTAGTGCATTTTTTTCTATACCTGTCCTGAAAGTGGCTCTGTGGGGAAAACAGTCACTGAACCCGTCTGGAGTCCTCACTGCTCTCCTCATCCTCCGCTTAGCTATGGTACAGCCAGACTGGCCTATCACCACTTTCTCAACCTCTGGAATTTCAGCATACATCTTACAATACAGCAGTACCTCAACTAACCTTGAATTGTGGGTCATGGTGGCAATAAATAAATGCTAGGAGACCACCCAACTATTCCTCTCACTGGCAGGTAACTGTCCCTAGGCGGTGGTGCTGCTGTGTGTTGCCACCAGGGGTCAGCATCGGCCCCTCCCTGCAGGACCAGGCCTTGCTGTGACGACAGGGCAGGGGCTCCTGCAGGCACCCACGATTGGGATCACTCTCATCCTGGATAGGGAGCAGGCTAAACCCTGCCTTGCAGGAGCTGGCCTTGCCCACGATATTAGAAACTGCACTCAGAAGGGAGCGAAGCTGCCTGTCATTTCCTCCCTTTAGATGGACACATGGGTACAGGATAAATGCTCCTTTCTTTACTAGAAGAGAAATGGCAGCTGGACTCCCAGAACCAGTGCCCTGGCTGACCTCCGCTCCACCTGCTGCCTGGCTTTGCTCAGCCTCCTGCATTACACGAACCTCAGCACTATACACACGTGGTAATTTACTAAGAAATGTGCTTCCCATTAGTCCTCAGCCTCCCCCACCGGAATGTCAGCTGTGCAGCCAGGTTGACTTCGTGAGCACACCGGGTGGAGGGGCCGCCCTGCACGGGATGGGCTAACCGAGGACTGCGGGTCCTGCTGGAGGCTGGACACTGTGACAACCCACGCATCCACCCCCTCCCCAGGCCTGGCTCTCAGCCTGAGGGCCTGGGATCCAAGCTGGTCATTTGAGGAGGGCGGCTCCTCCTTCAGGGATGGACCCAGGTGACCAGCCAAGGAGCCCATGTGAAAGGGAAGAGCGGAGAGTGGTGTGGGCAGAGCTCCCTCATCAGCAGAGGGTATGTGCCCCCTGCTGTGGATGAGTCCTGGGGGAACAGCTGGGCTGCAGGAGGTGCTGGAGGCAAAGCAGGGACCGAAATTTCTAACACTTAGAAATTTCCCAGAAAATGCAGGCACAGGTCCACAGCTTCTCTTGAAAAGCAGAAGCCCTGGCCACATAGGGCTGTGCACCTCCCCAGCAGGACTGCCCATGGTGGACGGGGCTGTGTCCTCTGGACCTGGCAGAAGCGCTCCGATTTACCACAGTCCCCACCTCTCCCTATAGGCTCTCAGCTCTGAAGCCAACCATCACCTGAATGATCCCTCAGAAGCCTGAGCTTTGCTTTCCTTAGAGCAAAGAAGAAGTTGTGATATTCCTTATACCTACATCTTTATCTGAAGCCAAAAAGGGAAGGGCACTTTAACTCCCAGAGGGCAACGTCACTGCAAGTGGTGGCCCTCTCTCACTGCCTCCTGCGCAGTCTTGGCTCCCCCACAACTCCCTTGGCAAGCAGCTCAGCCACTGGCCAGATGGAACAAGGGTGACCCCAATATCGGCCCAGCCCACTCCCCAGGACTGCCAATGGGAGAGAAGATGGCCTTGGTGCATCCCACAGCGCTGGAGAGAGTGCAGGCTGGGAAGTGGAAGCAGCAGCCGCCACTGCTGCCCCGACTTGCCGAGAAGTGAACCCAGCCCAGGAAGAGGACCCCAGCCTTCCTCGCCCACGGCCTTCCCCGCCCAGCCCAGGAAGAGGACCCCAGCCTTCCCCGCCTAGCCCAGGGAGAGGACCCGGTCTTCCCCACCCACGGCCTTCCCTGCCTAGCCCAGGGAGAGGACCCGGTCTTCCCCACCCACGGCCTTCCCCGCCTAGCCCAGGGAGAGGACCCGGTCTTCCCCACCCACGGCCTTCCCCGCCCAGCCCAGGGAGAGGACCACAGCCTTCCCTGCCCAGCCCAGGGAGAGGACCCCGGCCTTCTCCGCCCAGCCAGACAGTGCAACGCGCCTGGGAAAGGACTCCACCTCTGGAGGCAAGGACCCAGGTTCCCCGCCGGGCTGTGGTGGTTTCAGCTGTGTGGCGTCAGTGAACCCTTGTTCCTCATCTTTGAGAAAGGGCCACACCACCTCCCTCCCACAGGGCCACAGTGAGTGCCACAGATCGTGCAAAGGCTCAAGGCCGCAAAGGGCTGGGCACAGATGAGCTGTAGGTCAGCACCTACACCCACCCAGCGCGGGGCCTCCCTTGCTCACCTTCAGGGGCTCTGTCCAGCGTGTACCAGAGCTTGAAGCGCGCAGAATGTTCGTTCCTGAGTTCCTCTAGCTCAGGCCGCAGCAGGATATCCTTCTCGGTCTGCAGGGGACAGGGCCAGGCGGTCAGGAGGGATGGGTGGCAGAGACTACTCCACAGAGATGAGCCTGTTCATTGCGCCCACCACAGCCACATGCCCGTGGAGCTTACAGGAGGGTCCTCAGCCAGAGCTCATCCACCACCCCTCTCTCCTGCTCTAGCCTACGGAGCCTCTCACAGCTGCTGACGAAGGGACGAAGGCATTCGCTACAAACTCAGTGTGTGAACTGCTTCTGATGTGGGGAAACGTGCATGTCCTGAGAGCGGGAAAAATGGAAAACTAAAGTCGGCAGAGCCGGGCACAAGCAAACGAAGAGACGGGAAGGGCGCCGGGAAGTCCAGGCAGTCAGCCGGGGTTCTAACAGATAATAAGCAAAGGCCTGTGAAAAGCTCTGGGTGTGCCACCCTCCGCCCTCCAGCACATCTTTTTGCCTTCTGGGAACTCACTCAGGTTGTACCTCCAGAAACCAGGAAGTACAGACACCACTCCCCACCCCACCTGGCCCTCCTGGACACCCATCCCCCTGGCTGGCCTGAGACTCCCGCACCCCCACCCAGCTGTCACAGAGCCCTACAGAACTCAGTCCAACGTCATCCTGGACCCCCCCAAGGGCTCTCAGGGATCTCCTCCTGAATCCCCTACCTGACTCAGCTCCCACACCTGTTCCCCTTCTGATCATTGGCTGTTGCCAGGTGTTTACAAGTCACACAGGGACAGATGGGGCTCCTCAGGCCGGTGTGCAGTGTCACTGACCTCATGAGACTCACAGAAACCGGGGGCCAAAGAGCACTGCCACCCAGAAGGGGCTGCCCACTAATAAATTGCTACTAAGCTCCCAGGCTGGGCGAGGGCAGGGTGGACGCTCCCCAGGCTGGGCGAGGGCAGGGTGGACGCTCCCCAGGCTGGGCGAGGGCAGGGTGGATGCTCCCTAGGAGGCATGACTTCTCTGTTCTCAGGGCTGGGGAACAGCACCCACTCTCTCTGTGGCCTGAGGCACCTGAATATGGGAATCGCAAGGGTGGGGAAATGCAAGCAGCTCCTCCTTGCTCCTCTCCAGGAGATGGGCTGTGAGGCATGAGCTTCGACATGTCTCAGGAAAGGCAGGGTGTTGAACCAGCTTCTGAGGATAGGAGGCTGAGGGCCCTTCCTACTCTAATGGGGTAAGGACAGGGACAGGGACAGGCTTTGGGCTAGACAAGCTCAAGGACAAAAAAAATGCAGAAAGTATGAAAGAAAAAGTACCTGAAACTCTTCAGAAAGAATAAGTGTCAGGATTTTGGGGTCCAACTTTTGTCCTTTTTCTGTTAACTATGTGTAATTTTCTTTCTAGGCAGGGCGCAGTGGCTCATGCCTGTAATCCCAGCACTTTGGGAGGCTGAGGCAGGCAGATCACTGGAGGTCAGGAGTTTGAGACCAGCCTGGCCAACATTATGAAACCCCATCCGTACTAAACATATAAAAAATTAGCTGGGCATGGTGGCGCACATCTGTACTCTCAGCTACTCAAGAAGTTGAGGCAGAAGAATCGCTTGAATCTGGGAGGTGGAGGCTGTAGTGAGCTGAGATCACGCCATTGCACTCCAGCCTGGGCAACAAGAGTGAAACTCAGTCTCAATTTAAAAAAAAAGTTGGCCGGGCGTAGGGGCTCACGCCTGTAATCCAAGCACTTTGGAGGCCAAGGCGGGCAGATCACCTGAGGTCGAGAGTTCAAGACCAGCCTGACCAACATGGTGAAACCCCATCTTAAAAAATAAATAAATAAAAATTAAAAAAAAAAAAGTTAAGTCTTCCTACTGAGCCAAAGTGCATCTCACGCTTCAATCCTCACCACCGTCCTGTGAGGTGGCTATCGCTGAGACCCATGTGACAGATGAACAGAGGGATGGGACTTTAGGGGTTCCCAGCTCAACACAAAGTACTGAGGTCACGGAGGAAGGAAGGAGAGGAAAGGAGGGGCAAGGACCCTACTGACCCAGTTCTCAGAGTGTCACGTGGGGACCCCTGGGGCCGGGACCCTACAGAGAATCCCAGGGGCCAAACGGTTTTCATATAATTCTGATACACTGTTGGTACTTTTCACTCCTGCTCTCAGGAGAGGCTGTGTGACTTGCAGCCTTACATAGTTGGGGTGCAGAAGCAGACAGGAATCTAGCGGTCCTGTGAAGCCAGACCTCTAAGGTTGGCAAAAATGTAAAACAAAATGTTTTCTAAAATACAGTTTTAAAAAAAATAAAAATACGCCCTGGTTTCAGCACTTCCTATGAGACATGCGCAGTCAAGCCCCTCTCAGAGGCTGTGTGCCGAGGTACAAAATGAGGTGACCACACCGCCCTTAAGACGGCCAGTATAGGTGACAGACGGTCTGATGGCCTCCACAGACTCTGACCCAGCACCACCAAGCCTCTGCTGCCCTCCCTCCCTCCACACCAGCCAGCTTGCAATTTCGGGCTCTTTCTCCCCTGGGCCTAGCAGGGCCATCTCGGTTTGCCTTGGGGCTGTTTTCTGTAGCTGCAGGGCGGGGTGGGCCAAGGACGAACATCCAAGGCCCTCAGGCAAGTATCTTCTTCTCCCTGAAATCCACGTCATCAGTCTCAAAACACTGACCCTGGAAAGACCTTGCAACAACCCTATTTCATCAGCTCATTCCACAGATGAGGGTGTGAAGCCCAGAGAGGGAAAGCGGCTGGTCCAAGGCCACACAGTAGGCCAGGGCAGGCAGGCAGTGGGCTTGAAGACAAGGATATGGATCAGGAGCCAGAGAGACCAACATTCAAATCTTGCCCTGACACCCTGTAGCTCAGGGACTTCGTGCAAACATCTGGTCATTTGTAAGATGGGCCCCTCCATCTCCAGACTCACACTGGCCCAAGCCCAGGCCAGTGTTCTTCCCACTCCACCGGTGGGTTCCAAACGGTGTTCACGGTGAAGGAAGTTCTGAGTTGGAGAGCAAGCCGCCAGGGAGGGGGTGTTCAGGGAGCTCCCTGCAAGGCAGCCCCCTCAGCCGGACACAGGCTCTGCATTACAAGACCTGCCCCCCATGTGCTACCAAGAACGTTGAGACCCCTCCTCCCACTCTGGTCATTCCCAGAATCTCAGCAGAGCCATGCAGATGCCTCAACAGCACCTGACGGGCCGAGTCCCCTCAGGGAAAGCTGAGTTTGCATATCGGGGGATGCCCACTGACCTGGTTGGCAAAGAGCAGGTGGCATACAGTATGGTCGTCAGGGTCCTTCATGATGGCCCGGATCACCTGCAGCATCGGGGTGATGCCTGCAAGACAGCCGGCCAGACCCCCACGTGCTGAGCGAGGCCTGCTCACAGGCACCGCCCTGCTCAGGTATACGAGGGGGAAAGGGGCCAGGACCACTCCCGACCCCACCCCTAACATCTGTCACCGGGCGCCTCAGTGGGGTGTTCCACGTACCTGTCCCTCCCGCGATCATGCCCACAGACTTCACCGTCTTGATGACGGGGTTGGATTTTTTGTCAGGTCGGATGGCGAACTTCCCTGGGGAGAAAGAAGGGGTGAGGCCAACTGTCAGGCGTGCCATGCGTGGGGGCTGGAGAGGCTGCAGAACCTGTCCCCACACTTTGAGGACGGAGGTGGATGGAGGTGGCTGCCATTCTACTCCAGCTGTCAGGATGGTGCAGGGGCAGCAGAGAGGCTGGGGACCCAGGGCCAGCTCCGTCCCCTTGCTTGCTTGTTTCAGATGCTGAGAAAACCAAACAGCCTGGCAACGGGTGAGCTGTGGCCCCCAGGAGCCACCCATCCAAAACCCCTGTGCTGACAACTTATCCCCTCTACAGCCAGGGAGACTCAGGTCTCAGAGAGGGACAGCTGGCCCAACGAGAGTCACCCTTCTACACAGAGCCAGGGGCCTGCACCCAGCACCCCCAAGCTCTCCAGTTCTCTGAGCCTGCTCTGTAATCAGGGGATTCCGACCCGGATCACCTTTGCCCTGGTAGACCAGCAGCCCGTTGGGGCCCCGGAACTCGATGGTGTCTCCAATCTGCATGCTTTCCAGGTACTGAGACATCTTCCCTCCGGCGGGAAACTTGGGATGAGTGTCCTTGAAGTAAACCTGCAAGACACCCCCACAGCCCTCAGTCTGGCTCCCGGGCTTGCCCACAGCAGAGGAAGTGCCTCTTCCGAGGCTCTTCTCAGGCTCACACGGGGCCTTCTCCTGTGTGGCCCCATCCACCCAGCTGTCAAATCGTACCTGTCCTGCACCCATCCTTCCAGGAGGCAGCCTCCACCTGACATCCCCGGGGAAAGCAAGGCTCCAACCGCACGGCTGGATGCACTCACATTTCACCATCTCTGGGGCCCCTCCCAGTGGGAGACAATGACACCCGTCAGCAAAGTCAAGGCTCTGGGAGGCCCACTCAGCCACACTCCTCCTGGAGGCCATTGGGTCCCTTCTGTTTAGTGCTGTCGTAAAAACCTTGTTCACTTTGGAACTACCTCCTGCCCTGCACTCTCTGGGATTACTGTCTTAGAAAAGAGAAGTGCCTCAATCCGACCCACGCACAAAGAGATGGGGAGACAGAGGAGGAGCGGCTTGCCCTGGCCAGGGAGTCTGATGGATGCAGAAGGGAAAGGCAGCTGGGGGAGGAACAGTGTGTGTACAGGGCCTCAGGGGAACAAGCCTGTTGTGGCCTCAGCACAGAGGGTGGCTACGGGGCATGGAGGCAGAGGGAAGAGGAGGGCCAGGGAGATGCAGGCAGAGCCCACTGTTCTGGGCCCAGGGTGCCAGGCCAGGACTCTGACCTTTACCAAGGACCAAGAGAGCCAGCACGGTCTCCAAGCTAGCAGGGGCCTGGTCAACTGTGAGTTTTTCACCCCCAACTTGAATCCTCCCAATAGCTTCTTCACATCTGGCTGGAGAGACTTCAATGTGAACAGATGTGTGAGCCCTCATCACCACCTCTGTGCTTCTAGACAAAGCTCCAAACCTTACTGGGGCCTCCAAGGCCCTGTGTGGCCCCACTAACCTCTCCCACCCCTTGCCCCCACCCTCCAACCACGTCAATCTTCGAGCCTGCTGCTGACCTCAGGGTCTTTGCACCTCAAGCTCCTTTTCTTCCTCCTTCACCTGCTCAGCCCCAGATCTCACCGTCACTGTCACCTGCTAGGGAACCACTCTCACCAGCCAACCCACCCATCTCCCTGGTGGCCCTGGAAGCTCAGTCAGAGCTACCTGTCCCCTGCAGGGAGCACCGGCTTCCCCATGACCATGTGCTCAGTGTTCTCCAGTCAGACAGGCTCCTGAGGCCAGGCCTGGACGCCCCAGCAAGGAAGGAGCCCAGGCCAGGCAGACCCAGTGCCCCTCCCCTCCTCGAGATCCAGTGCCTGCCCCCAGACCTGGCGAGACTCATGGCCTCAGCTGTGGCCCAGCAAGGGAGCTCTAGGGGTACCTGAGGGTGCTGGGCTAGGGAGGCTGTGGAGCCCCACAGCCACTGGTCTAGGCTGCTTCTCATCTGCTGTTCTGTAGGAAGCTTGTATTTTTTTTTCTTTATTTGATCGAGTCCTGTTCTATTGCCCAGGCTGGAGTGTAGTGGTGTAATCTTGGTTCAGTGCAACCTCTGCCTCCCAGGTTCAAGCAATTCTCCTACCTCAGCCTCCCAAGTAGCTGGGATTATAGCTGTGTGACACCACAGCCAGCTAATTTTTTAATATTTTTAGTAGAGATGGGGTTTCACCACGGTGGCCAGGCTGGTCTTGAACTCCTGACCTCAGATGATCTGCCTGCCTTGGCCTCCCAAAGTTCTGGAATTACAGGTGTGAGCCACTGAGCCCAGCTGAAATCTTGTATTTCTAATTCGCATAAAAAACATTCCCACTGGGGCCGCCAGGCTGCCTCTGACTTCCACTCAGCTTGTGTTTTAGGCTCTGGGCTGCGGCTCCTAATGGCTACATCTTCTCCTGTGAACCTCCACCTCAACCCGGAGATGGACCCCAGCAAGCCCAGCACCCCAGCTCCAAGACAACATCCCATGAGCCCCTCACATGCTGCCCTAGCAGGCCTGGGGCACATTTCTCAAGGAAACAATTAAGAACAGGGCCTGCATGTCACGGAGGCCCAGCCGCTGACCATGGTGGAGTGGCTCCTCACCCCACACTCGGGAGCCAGGGATCTCCTAGCCTGAGTGCCGGGGTGGGGCTGTGCCATCACACCTCGCAGCAGGAGCGTCTGCACCACCAGCCTTCCTTCCTAGCACCTCTGCTGCAGGCACCTGTCCTTGTTTAAAGGCGCTTGGCCTGAGCCCTGGCCCTGATCTCTGCCAAGGCCATGGCTTTTGTTGGTAAACCATGACTTGCTATTGACTCAGAAACCAGCATAGGGAGCACTGGGCCTTTAGAGACCAGGCTGTGGGGGGACGGGGGCCTGAGAGGGCTCAGAAGCCACCATACCTGCAAGCCCCTGGGGAAGTGGGCGGCCATGACTGAGGCTGGGCTGCGCAGGGCAGGAGCAGGGGCCTTCCCTGTCCAGGGGGTCCAAGTGGGATGTGAGCTGTTGCCATGGCCACCCACCCACCCCTCCACAGTCATGACCCAGAGGCTTCACCTTTATGACCAGGTCCACGAAGCCCTTGTCATCGTCGCTGGAGACAGGTGTGTAGGGCCGGATGACCAAGTTTCCGTCAATTCGAGCCGAGAGGTAGATGTGCTGGCCTGCAGGACAGGACGGGGTCTCTCCATGTCAGAGATCATCCCTGCAGGTGACCCCTGGGTCTTGTCAACCCACTGCCCTGCACCATGCCCGGCATTCAAAGCCTGGCCTGGCCTCAGCTCCCACGGCCCCTCCCACCACCCCTCCCGGGGACTCCCCTCACATCCCAGCTTCCGGCCTCCATACCTTCACTCTTGCTGTGCCCCTGCCAGGGACCCTGGGCCTTCCCATTCTCATTTGATAGACTCACCCTCAAAGGCCCAGGGCAGCTGTCACCTCCGCCTGAAGCCTTCCCTTCTCTCCCTGGTGGACATATAAAGCTCCCCTCTCTCTGATCTAGTGCCCCAGCTACCTATCAGCTCCGTGTGGGCCCGGCAGGGGCAGGACTCACCGACAGGGAGGCCCAGGATGTGCTGGGGCGACGGGAGGGCGAAGCGGAAGCGCCGGGTGTCATGGCTGATGATCTGTAGAGAGGCCCAAAGCTGCGGGACAGCCCTCAGGGCAGAGGGGCTCCCAGGCCTCAGAGCCCCCATCCCACTCCTTCCCAGGGTCCCCACCCTTTCCCAGTGCTTGTAAGAAGTGACACTGATGCCGTGTGCCATGCACACACCCGCACATTGCATGTGAGGTGCTGAGGTCAGGTGCATGCCGGGTATGTCTGTCCTGCTGGCCCAGAGGGGCCACATGCAAGGTGGCCAGAGTAGGGAATGAACCCAGGCTCCCCAAGGGAGGACACCAGACAGCCCAAAAAACTTCCAGGACAGGGAGAGAGGAATCCACCTCTGCCATTAGCTCAAGCAGTGGCCTGAAATAGCAGGACACACTCGGCGGCTAGATGCGCAGACTGGAGCAGAGCTAGACAAGGCTGCACATGTGCAGGTCTATACCCCAAGAGAGGGGCTACAGAGGCCATTGCAACTGAGAGCCCCTTGGAAAATGGGGCAGCCAGGACTGAGGTGGCTTTTCAGGGCAGGAAGTGCAAGCCTTCCCTGCCCAGGAGCTCCAAGAGCCCAAAGCCAGGCTTCCACTCTGCACAGGGTGAGCATCGGGGCATGGTCAGTGGCTGGGACAGTGGCAGAGGAAACGGGGAGCGAGGGGCTAGCTAACAGCCAGGCCGGGCCAGGGATGGAGCTGAGACTAAAGCCTGTGAGGTCTTACTAAGTGGGTCTTACACTGAGGCCAGGGACAATCACATAACGAGTTCCAGTGAGAGCTGGAACCAAGTCCAGCGCCCTGAGGGTGCACTCCCTGTGGGGTCTCTGGTACTCGCACACCCAGGAGAGGGAGAGTGGAGGAGCCACACAAAAGGTGGGCACTACTGAGTGTGTCTTACATCCAAATGTGGCAAAGTCCACACACAGACAGTGTCAGCACTTAGAGGGGGACAACAGACCTCTCCAAGGGGGCAGAACATCACAGATGCCCATCCTGGCTCAGTATGAGAACAAACTCCCTGACCTCAGCAGTGTTCCAGCACAGAGCAGCCACCTCAAGGAAAGACCTGTCCTTGAGTGTGAGAGCAGAGGCAAATCACAGGAAAGACGGTGCAGATGCCACTCAGGATCAGTCAGGCAGGCGGCCCGCCAACCTCCGCGCAGCAGCCCAGGCCTCAAAGCTGACTCCATAGGAAGCCTCTGCACTAGGGGCAAACAGAGCCCCAATGCCTCCTGGAAGTGGATTCCAGGAGTAGCAATTGGTCCTAATGGCCAAGGTCAGACACCCACATGCCAGAAAATATTCGGAGGAAGAACAGAAGTGAGGACAAGAGATGGAAACAATGGTGCCGACCAGCCTCCAGCAGGGCAGCTGGGGGATGCAGCACAGGGCACCCAGCGCAGCCCACTGCAGGCCCCGCAAAGCCACTACGGACACAACATGGGACAAAGCTGCAATCCTAGGACATCTGCCACACGCTCAATCAAAGGGGCCTGGAGGGGCCCTTGTATAACATCCCCAGGATGAAATACTAAAAGGATGCATGTTGTCTGGCTGGCTAAAAATCAGGTTATTGGCTGGGTGCCGTGGCTCACGCCTGTAATCCCAGCACTTTGGGAGGTCAAGGCAGGTGGATCACGAGGTCAGGCGTTCAAGACCAGCCTGGCCAAGATGATGAAATCTCATCTCTACAAAAATACCAAAAATAGCCAGGGTTCAATTGATTTTCCTGCCTCAGCCTCCCAAGTAGCTGAGATTACAGGCATGTACTACCACGCCAGGCTAATTTTGTATTTTTAGTAGAGATGGGGTTTCTCCATGTTGGTCAGGCTGGTCTTGAACTCTCGACCTCAAGTGAGGTCACCCGCCTTGGCCTCCCAAAGTGCTGGGATTACAGGTGTGAGCCTCTACGCCCGGCCCTACTATTGTTTCTTTTTTCTTTTTTTTTTTTTTGAGACAGAGTTTCACTGTTGTTACCCAGACTGGAGTGCAATGGCATGATCTCGGCTCACTGCCACCTCCGCCTCCTGGCTTCAAGCAATTCTCCTGCCTCAGCCTCCTGAGTAGCTGGGACTACAAGTGCGCACCACTGTGCCCAGCTAATTTTTGTATTTTTAGTAGAAACAGCGTTTCACCATGTTGACCAGGATGGTCTCAATTTCTTGACCTCGTGATCCACCCGCCTCTGCCTCCCAAAGTGCTGGGATTATAGGCGTGAGCCACCGCGCCCGGCTTTGTTGTTTCTTAATTCCAGAAGTAATGTGTGATTTATATGTGCTCACAACAAAAACTCTGTGAAGTACGACCTCCACCCCTGCCCCGCTGCCACATCCCAGAGCCCTGTGCAGAGAGCCCAGGTCATAGCTCAGCCTGAGCCTGCCAGACCCCATCTAGGTATTATGTTCATACACAGTAATGTGTGGAGGGGTGGGTGTGCACACACTCAGTTTCTTTTTTTGATAACCTGATTTTTTTTTTTTTTGAGACTGAGTCTCGCTCTGTCGCCCAGGTTGGAGTGCAATGGCGAGATCTTGACTCACTGCAACCTGTGCCTGCTAAGTTCAAGCAATTCTTCTGCCTCAGCCTCCCAAGTAGCTGGGATTACAGGCACCTGCCACCATGCCAGGCTAATTTTCATATTTTTAGTAGAGACGGGGTTTCACCATGTTGGCCAGGCTGGTCTCAAACTCTTGACCTCAGGTGATCTACCCGCTTTGCCCACCCAAAGTGCTGGGATTACAGGAGTGAGCCACCATGCCTGGCCAGTAATTTACTTTTTATTTTGCACTTTTTTTCTTCTCTCTGGTTGTCAACTTCTCTGTGAATTCCCGGGACAATTACAGACACTTGCCCCAACAGTTACAGGAAGCAGCCAGCTCCGTGCCACGGCGGCCTGGGATTCCTGTGACGCCCGAGTCAGACACATCAGGCAACACCTGGGGTGGAGACTGGGGCTATGACAGATGACTCTCTCTGCTGTGACTCAGTTTTCCCTGCCACACCCCTCCTTTGCCTGCTAAGGGTGGCCAGAATTAGAGCAAGGGAGGCGCTCTGAAGAGGCAAGTAACAGAGGGAAGCAGCCTTTACTGAGCAGCAAGGCAAAGAGGGAGAGGATGGTATTAAATCACAATGCGAGATTTGAAAAAAAAGAGTCATGCAGCCGGGTGCGGTGGCTCACGCCTGTAATCCCAGCACTTTGGGAGGCCAAAGTGGGAGGATTGCTTGAGCTCAGCAGTTCGAGACCAGCCTGGGCAACATAGTGAGATGCCATCTCTTATAGAGATGAAGATGAATAAATGAATAAACAACAACAAAAAATAAGGTTCAAGGCCGGGCGCGGTGGCTCACGCCTGTAATCCCAGTACTTTGGGAGGCCGAGGCGGGTGGATCATGAAGTCAAGAGATCGAGACCATCCTGGTCAACAAGGTGAAACCCCGTCTCTACTAAAAATACAAAAATTAGCTGGCATGATGGTGCATGCCTGTAATCCCAGCTACTCAGGAGGCTGAAGCAGGAGAATTGCCTGAACCCAGGAGGCGGAGGTTGTGGTGAGCCAAGATGGCGCCATTGCACTCCAGCCTGGATAACAAGAGCGAAACTCTGTCTCAAAAAAAAGAAAAAGAAAAAGAAAAAAAGGAGTCATGCCGAGCACCATGGCTCACACCTGTAATCCCAACACTTTGGGAAGTGGAGGTGCACGGATCACTAGAGCCCAGGAGTTCGAGACCAGCCTGGGCAATAGGACGAAACCCCACTTCCACAAAAAATACAAAAATTTGCTGTGCATGGTGGTGCACGCCTGTAATCCCAGCTACTCAGGAGGCTAAGGTAGGAGAATCGCTTGAGCCTGGAAGACAGAAAGTGCAGTGAGCAGAGATCATACCACTGCACTCCAGCCTGGGACACAGAGCAAGATGATGTTCCAAATAAATAAATAAATAAAAGAATGAATGAGAGAAGGAAAGAAAAGAAAGGAAAGGAAAAATGGAAAAGAAAAGGAAAGGAAAAAGGAGAGGAGAGGGAAGAGAGGGGAAGGGTAGAAGGAAGAGGGAGGGGAGGGGGAGGGAGGGGTAGGAGAAAGGGGGGAATGGGGAAGGAAGGTGAAGGAGTGGAGGAATGGTGGCGGGTGGGGGGGGGGCGGGGAATAGCGGGAGAGGGAAGGACCAAACAGGGCAGAGGAATCCCAAACAGCTGACAGCACCCAGGGAATCTGCACAGAGGTAAAAGGCACCCAGGCCCAGCAGTACCAGGCTGTGGGGAATGACGCCGGGGGAGGGGAGGATGGGGAGGACGGAGAGGACATAGGAGGACTTATCTTCAAATCTCTCACCCCCTGCTTTCCTACCCGATAAAGGGGGGACTGGGCCTAAATGTTCTGAGGGTTCCTTCCACTCTGACCTTCCATGAGGCAGTGAGTGTGGTTCAGAGAACAGAATAGAGACTGGGGTTTAAATCCCTCTGCCACTTCCTGATGGCCTTAGCAAGGGACATCACCTTGCTTTCTCCATCTGTAAAATGGGCAGACAACAGTAGCTACTTCAGAGCCGGACCATGTCCTGAGCGCAGAGTAGGCGCCGGAGCAACGCTGTGATGCCGACAAGGATGTGGCACTCACCTCCCGGTCGATGAGCCTCAGCGGGTACTTGATGTCCGGGCTCTCGAGGGTGATGGCCGGCGTGGAGCGCTGGAACAGCTTCATGAGCAGACTGTACAGGAACCAGACTGGAGAAAGCACCACATGGCCCAACTGAAACGACAGGGAGCCGCAGGGTCAGCGCAGGAGCCTGCCTTTCCCCTGCACACGCCGGCTCGGCCACACACGAGGCTGTGGCTTACGTGGCCCCCTCTGCCGGGTGCACCCTCTCCCCACCACCCTCATCCTGAGAACTTCATCATCCATTTCAGTGCCCACGAGAAGCTATAAAGACAAGACTCCTGACACCTGTCACTGAGCATTACCCAGGCTTCTAGGTTCAGTACCATGAGAAAAAGTTCCATTTCCTCGGAGGAGCAGGGACCAAAAATTGCTAAGTATCAAAGCGCATAGTCTTTTTCACTTTGGCTACTAGGAAGCTCAGAGTAAAACTAATTTTTTTTGTTTGTTTGTTGAGATGGAGTTTTCTTTTTTTTTTTTTTAATTTTTTTTTAGAGAGAGCATTTCACTACGTTGGCCAGGCTGGTCTTGAACTCCTGACCTCAGATGATCCACCCGCCTTGGCCTCCCAGAGTGCTAGGATCACAGGTGTGAGCCACCAGGCCCGGATGGACGGAGTTTCACTCTTGTTGCATAGGCTGGAGTACAATGGCACAATCTTGGCTCACCGCAACCTCTGCCTCCCGGGTTCAGGTGATTCTCCTGCCTCAGCTTCCCAAGTAGTTGGGATTACAGGCATGCACCAACACACCTGGCTAATTTTGTATTTTTAGTAGAGTCAGGGTTTTTCCATGTTGGTCCGGCTGGTCTTGAACGCCTGACCTCAGGTAATCCACCCACCTCAGCCTCCCAAAGTGTTGGGATTACAGGGGTGAGCCACCATGCCTGGTCAGTAAAATTAACCTTGAGCATAATATATTTGTGCTCCATCTGTCTCTTCCTTCCTCTAGTCAACTTCCCTGGTCTTATTAAGTGATGTCAAGTTCTAGCTCAATTTAGACAAACAGACAAATAATAACCCCAACTCAGAATCTATCTGAAAGGCCTACACTGACCAAATGGTTCTACGGTACCTTTAAATCCAGTCCTGCCGGGCGGGATGGCTTATACCTGTAATCTCAGCACTTTGAAAGGTGACCTGAAGTCAAGAGTTCAAGACCAGCCTGACCAACATGGAGAAACTCCATCTCTATTAAAAATACAAAATTAGCTGGGGGTGGTGGCACATGCCTATAATCCCAGCTACTCAAGAGGCTGAGGCACAAGAATACCTTGAACCCAGGAGGTGGAGGTTGCGATGAACCGAGATCACGACACTGCACTCCAGCCTGGGCAACAAGAGCAAAACTCCATCTCCAAAAGAGAAAAATTCAGTCCCTTGGGGCCACTGGGACTGAAGCTCTCCTCTTTGGTCTCCCACAGAGCAAACTAGAACAAGCCAGTGAAGTTGGGTAAACTGAGCCACTTCCCACAAATGACATCCATGAGTGTCCCTGAGCCCTGGGGTTGTGCCGTCAGGTATAAGGGGGAGTGAAGCACTGAGCCAGGCACTGGGAAGCTCACTGGCAGTGTGACCCCGAGAAAGTCCCTTCCCCTCTCAACCTGACTGGATCAGGTAATCTGCAAGGCCCCCAGAGCTGACACTCTACTGCTCAGATCACCAAGGCCAGCAGCCTCAGGGATACCAGCACCACACAGGCCCGGCCCTCAGAGCAACCCATGGGGTAGGCACTGACCACCACTTCACAGATGAGGAAACGGCCCAGAAAGGCAAAGCGACTCACCCAATCACACAGCTGGCAGGTGGGAAGCCGACCCGGAGTCCACCCCTCCCTCAAACCACGCTGGGAAACCTCAGGCCCAGCTGACCCTGCCACATGGCCCTGAGGGGCTGTTCCTTCCCAGCCCCTACCCCCCACATCTCAGCCTCACAAAGGCCCTAAAACAGGGGCCGGGCATAGCAGCTCACACCTGTAATCCCAATACTCTGAGAAGCCAAAGCAGGCAAACAGCGTGAGCCCCGGAGTTCAAGACCAGCCTGGGCAACATGGTAAAACTCCATCTCTAGAAAAAATATAAAAAGTTAGCCAGTTGCGGTGGCACTCACCCGCGGTCCCAGCTACTTGAGTGGCAGGGGCAGGAGAACTGCTTAAGCCCAGGAGTTTGAGACCAGCCTGGGCAACATGGCAAAACTCTGTCTCTATTTAAAAAAAAAGGGGGGCCGGGCGCGGTGGCTCACGCCTGTAATCCCAGCACTTTGGGAGGCCGAGGTGGGAGGATCACGAGGTCAAGAGATCGAGACCATCCTGGTCAACATGGTGAAACCCCATCTCTACCAAAAATACAAAAATTAGCTGGGCATGGTGGTGCGCGCCTGTAGTCCCAGCTACTCGGGAGGCCAAGGCAGGAGAATTGCTTGAACCCAGAAGGCGGAGGTTGCAGTGAGCCAAGATCGCGCCATTGCACTCCAGTCTGGGTAACAACAGCGAAACTCCGTCTCAAAAAAAAAAATCCCTAACGGTTGGTTAGAAAACCTGAATCCCTGGCTGGGCACAGTGGCTCATGCCTGTAATCCCAGCTACTCAGGTGGCTGAGGCAGGAGAATCGCTTGAATCTGGGAGAAGGAAGTTGCAGTGAGCCAAGATGGCACCAAAGCATTCCAGCCTGGGTGACAGAGCAAGACTCCATATCCAAAAAAAGAAAAAGGGCCAGGCATGGTAGATCACACCTGTAATCCCAGTTGGGAGGCCAAGGTAGCCGGATCACTTGAGTTCAGGAGTTCAAGATCAGCCTGGCCAACAAGGTGAAACCCCGTCTCTACCAAAAATACAAAAATTAGCTGGGTGTGGTGGCGGGCGCCTGTAATTTCAGCTATTTGGGAGGCTGGAGCAGGAGAATCGCCTGAACCTGGGAGGCAGAGGTTGCAGTGAGCTGAGATTGTGCCACTGCACTCTATCCTAGGCGACAGAGCAAGACTCGTCTCAAAAAAAGGGGGGGCGGGGCAGGGGCGGTGGCTCACATCTGTAATCTCAGCACTTTAGGAGTCTGAGGCGGGTAGATCACCTGAGGTCAGGAGATGGAGACCAGCCTGACCAACATGGAGAAACCCTGTCTCTACTAAAAAATACAAAAAATTACCTGGGCGTGGTGGCAGGTGCCCATAATCTCAGCTACTCAGGAGGCTGAGACAGGAGAATCGCTTGAACCCGTGAGGTGGACATTGTAATGAGCAGAGATCACACCACTGCACTCCAGCCTGGGTGACAGAGTGAGACTCCACATCAAAAAATAAATAAATATATACAAACATAAAAATTAGCCAGGCGTGGTGGTAGGCGCCTGTAATCTCAGCTACTAAGGAGGCTGAGGCATGAGAATCACTTGGACCCCGGAGGCAGCGGTTGCAGTGGGCTGAGATCATACCACTTCACTCCTGCCTGGGAGACAGAGCAAGACTTCATCTCAAAAACCTCTGCACCCCGCAAAAAACACAAAAACTGCTGCCAGCCTCTAGGACCTGAAGGAGGTAGAAGGATCCTCCCCTACAGTGCAGAGGGAGCAAAGCCCTGCCCTGCAGACACCTGGATCTCAGACTTCTGGCCTCCAGAACTGTAAGAGAGTAACGTTCTGTTGTCTTCAGCTGCCCAGGGTGCTTAAAATTTGTTAAGGCAGCCCTGGTAAACTAGTACAGAGGCCAGACAGAATGACTGGCTCCAGCACGTGGAGTGATCACTCCCAGTGATTAGCACCCGGCCATGAAAAAATTGTTACAAAGGACAATACTGAGACAAATGATGAAAGTTGGCCAGTGTGGCCAACAGGGTGAAACCCCATCTCTACTAAAACTCCAAAATTAGCTGGGTGTGGTGGCACACATCTGTAATCCCAGCTAGTTGGGGGGCTGAGGCAGGAGAATCGCTTCAACCCAGGAAGCGGAGGTTGCAGTGAGACTAGATCACGCCACTGCACTCCAGCCTGGGCAACAATAGCAAGACTCTGTCTCAAAAAAAAAAGGCATTTGAATAAGGCTTGTGGATTCGATAATAGCGCTATATTAATGTTACTTTCCTGATAATTATCCTATGGTTACACGAAATAATGTCCTTGTTCTTGGAATATACACACTGAAATATTTAGGGGCAAAGGGGCAACTTACTCTCCAATGGTTGAAAAGATAGACACAGCTGACCCTTGAACAACATGGGTTGGAAGTGTGAGTTCACTTACATGAGGATCTTCTTCCGCCTCTGCCACCAGAGACAGCAAGACCACCCCTCCCTCCTCCTCAGCCTACTTACTCAACGTGAGAACAAGGATGAAGACCTTTATGAGGATCTGCTTCCTCTTTTTTTTTTTTTGAGATGGAGTTTCGCTGTTGTTACCCAGGCTGGAGTGCCATGGCGCGATCTCGGCTCACCGCAACCTCCGCCTCCTGGGTTCAAACAATTCTCCTGCCTCAGCCTCCTGAGTAGCTGGGACTACAGGCACGCACCACCATGCCCAGCTAATTTTTTGTATTTTTAGTAGAGATGGGGTTTCACCATGTTGACCAGTATGGTTTTGATCTCTTGACCTCGTGATCCACCCGCCTCAGCCTCCCAAAGTGCTGGTATTACAGGCTTGAGCCACCGCGCCTGGCCCCTTTATGATTTTTAAAATTACATTTTTCTCTAGCTTACTCTACCATAAAAATGTTATATATATACCAGGCGTGGTGGCACACACCTGTAATCCCAGCACTTTAGGGTCACCTAAGGTCAGTAGTTAGAGACCAGCCTGGCCAACATGGGGAAACCATTGTCTCTACTAAAAATACAAAAAAATTAGCTGAGCATCGTGGCGTGCGCCTGTAATCCCAGCTACTTGGGAGGCCGAGGCAGGAGAATGGTTTGAACCCAGGAGGTGAAGGTTGCAGTGAGCCGAGATTATGCCATTTCCAGGCTGGGCAACAGAGCGAGACTCCGTCTCAATAAAAAAAGAAAAAAGAAAAAAATTATATATATATTTACATACATAAAACATACAATATACAAACATGTTATTGGTGAGGCTTCTAGTCAATAGTATATTAGTAGTGAAGTTTTGGGGAAATC